TAGAAAATTCTTGAAAAACCTTAAAAGTGTGATTTTGAACTCTATATCCTGTAGTTTTCTTTCCTCCATTTCTGTCATTTGTGACCTGTTTCTTTGTCTCCACATTTTGGCTGCTTCCGTGTGTTGGTAGAGTGGCTTTGTGTGCTAGGGGGCCTATAGGGCCCAGTGGCTCAGCCTCCGCAATTACATGAGGTGGACACTCTTGGTGCACCCCTTCGTGGGCTTTGTGCACAATTTCCTTGAGTCTGCCCCCTGATTGTGTCCCCAATGGATCTGAAGAGTTGTAATCTGGATGGTCCCAACCTTCCCACTGGGTACACTGGCACTTGGATCTCTAAGGAGGTGCTAATTTAGCCTCTGCCTGAGGCTACCCAGCAGGAGCTATGGAGAGATCTGCAGATTCCTCTTCTTTGTTTGGGATTTGGAGGTGCCCAGATGAGGCCCAGCTGTGAAGCACAGCAAGCTGCTGTGGGGCCTTGGGCCTTTTTTGGAAGTTCTGGGTCTCTCTGACCCAGCAGTGTGTTAGGTAATTTTAGATTGCAAAGGGCCAGGTCATTCATATGCAAAAGCCTCTGGGCACAGCTTGGGTGGGGCGGGGTCTCAGGGAATCAACAGGGCAGAGCAAACAGCTTGGCTGATCCTCAGCCCTGCCCTAAGAGTTCCAGTGTCTCAGTGGCCCGAGGTAATGGCTGCAACCACCTCTGAGAGAAAGCCACCCTCGAGTTCCGCCCGCTACCAGACAGTCCTGTTTCTCCAGTATGAGTCTGGGTCCCCAGAGACTCACCCGGAATTGGAGTTCAGAGCAGTCGGGAGCTTGTGTCTCCCTCCCGATTGTAAAAGACAACTGCATCCTCAATTGCCAGCCCTTTCCACGCGTGCCTCTGTACTTTACTTCTGCACCTCTTCTGAGTCTTAGTGTGCTTTTCTCTTTCTTTCTAGTTGTAGAATTTCCACTCAGCCAGCCTTCCTGTGGTTCTGGATGATGTCCGTTTTGTCTTTTAATTGTATTTTTGAAGTGGTTGTGCGAGGCAGCAATTTCAGGTGTTTACCTATGTCGACATCTTGGTTTCTCCCCCCTACTTTTATTATTTTCACCTACATCAGTGGTTCTCAACCTTCTGGCTCTTTAAATACAGTTCCTCATGTTGTGACCCAACCATAAAATTATTTTCATTGCTACTTCACAACTGTAATGTTGTTACTATTATGAATCATAATGTAAATATCTGATATGCTGGATGGCCTTAGGCAACCCCTTTGAAAGGGTTGTTCGACCGCCAAAGGGGTCTCGACTTACAGGTTGAGAACTACTGACCTACATGAATAGTAGTAGCTGCAGTGTACTTTTGGATTACTAGTACTTATGTCCTACTTCCAAAGGTTTTATTGAGAGTTAGTCAGATGTCAAATGATGTAAATATTGCCCTCAGTTTGTAATTTATATTTCATCTTAATTTATAGATCTTTTATTTTTCTGTATAGAAGTTTATAATTTTTATCTAGTTAGATCTATCAGTCTTTTCTTTTTAAAGCCATAATTAGTCTGAGATAATAGATTTATAGTTGTTTCTAGCAAAACTAGTATTTTAAGTTTGGAGTTGTCTTATGTGTCTAGAAAATTGAGAAATAGTTAAATCACTCATAACTATAAATAAGTATTTTAATAAAAAAAACATAACTCTTGAATTCAGATAATGCTCATTTTAAGTCTATATTAAACTGAGTTTTTATTATAATTCCTTTGCTTTTATATTATAATACTTTCTATTTTTCTGCTGCTCTTTTGGTATATGTTGTTAGAAATTGGCAGAGTAGAAATTTGAAAATATATTGAATTTAATTTTTAAAAAGTATTTGGCTTCCTTAATGCTAATACTGATTTAATAATTATATTAGGAATGATTTGAAATATCAGGGTTTACAAATTTTATAAAAAATAGAATCTTCACTGTTCTAGTGAAGGAAAGTACTGTATTGAAACTGAGTGAAGACTTTTACTTTTTTAAACAATATGAAATATGTTTTCCTTCAGATAAGTAAGGAAGAGAAGACTTTTCCAGAAAAGGATATTCTTGATTCATCATTCAGTTCAAGTGAGACTTCAGTTCCGGAGTCGGAGTCAGTTTACAAGGTATGTAAACTTTAAACTACTTTTTAGGTTTTGTTAAATATATCACATTGAGCTTCTATACGTGTTTAATTAACCCATTTGTATAGCCTGTTGCCACCACAGCCTCTCCCACTCCTGCGCATATTTCTTCTTCACCCCACGAAGAGTGTGCCAGCATTCTGTGTCGGGATGTCCTCCTACACAGACCTCCTAACCCTGCCTGGGCTCTGACCCTCCATTGCCTGCATTCTCTAAAAGGTTTCCTGTGGAAAGACCTTCTTTAACTCACCCACCAGGTTCCAGCATTTTGCTTGGGCTACCTCTGCTGCTCTCTGTCCCTTAGCATAGATAGCTGCTTTTCTTGAATCCATTAAATAGTTTTTGGAACTAAATAGTTCTAGTGGGGAGAGCTGAAATTCATTTTAAAATTTGATAGTTGCAACCTGCCAGTTTCCTTTGAAAAGAATGTACTCAGCATTATTGGTGAGTGCCAGTGGCTTAAAATCCTGCCTCCACATTAGCTCCCCATTCTGACTTCCCTGTTCCTACCAGTTAGGCCATCATTCAGTCAACCTTCCAAATGTAGAGTTTGGGAATTAACATTTATCCCTCCCACATCACACATTTCCTATTACTCTGCCTTCATATAATCTTTTGCTTCTGCTTAAGCATTTTTATTTCCATTGTGACTACCCTGATAAGTTAGAATCATGGAATATGAGAGCTAAAGAACCCCTAAGGGTCATTTAGATGATCCCTTCCTGCCCTGTCCTGGTTTTAAAGATTCTATATTTTTATAAAATTTGTAAACCCTGATATTTCAAATCATTTCTAATATAATTACTAAATCAGTATTGTCATTAATGAAGCCAAGTTTGTTTAAAAATTTAAATTCAGTATACTTTCAAATTTCTACCTATAAACCTTTACCACTGAGGTTTAGAAGCAGTAATTAAATGTTCCAAAATCATAAGTCTAGTGACTAATAGAGCTTGGATTAAAACACATTTCCAAACTTCTGTCTCCTTTCCTTGCCTGAATTATTGTAATAAGGCCTCTTACCTCCTTCTCTGGTATGTCCTGTGTAAGTTACCTGTTTGGTGCAGTGTCACGCATGTGCTGCCCCAGAGAGCTGTTTGACTTTCCATCTGTGTCTAACTTGTTTTCTCAACTAAATGATGACCTACTTCAGGACAAGGACTGTGTCGTAGTAAAAACTATCTGTTAAAAAAAGCACATGTTCTATTTATTATGTGATGTCATTGAGTATATTGAAGAATGATGGGCATATCGATTTAATAACTCTTACTTTTTAATAACTTGGGCAAAAAAACAATTTGGGGCTCATTTTTTTTTAACCTAATTTTTTCTCTCATTTTTGAAAGGAGAAAAAAAACGATTGGATAGTAAGGATTATTTTCACAGTTCACTAACATATTTCTGATATCTTAAACTTTTAGTATAGTTCATAAGACTTTATAAATGTATAGTATATTGGTTTTTTAAAAACATTTTTACTGGCAGCTACTTATTTTAATAGCAAAACTGAATGCTTATTATTATTTTTATTTCTTATTGTTGAGATTAGCATTTGAAATATATTTCTCTAGAGAAAGAAGGAAGTATAGAGGAAGAAATTCGTATTACTTTATTTGTTAGTAATTTTCAGCACTGAACATATTGTATACACATTAGGATTCTACTTGATACAGAATAAAATGTGAAGTATATCGTATGAGAGGAATGCAGTGTGCTTAGAGGGCTTGAGCTGGTAGTTTGAACTCCTGGTGTCTATAATTTGTAAATTCATTAGTTAAGTAAAGACATCTACTCTGAAATAAACACATTTTTGGATTGCCTCTTCTTTCTTGTGCTAATTGTTTACATTTAAGGAGTATAAATTGATCTTCCTTTTCTTCTGATCTGTGGGGATTGATGAATTTCTCATAGGAAGAATTTTATTTAGACTTGGTACATATGAAGACTTAGGAGGATTTCAAAATGACAGGCACTGCTTATTCTCCCTGTTTCACTCTGAATTCAGATCCCTTTTGCTGACGCCCTGGATTTGTTCCGAGGAAGGAAAGTGTATTTGCAGGATGGCTTTGCTTATGTACCATCTAAGGACATTGTGGCAATCATTCTGAATGAATTTAGAACCAAGCTGTCCAAGGCTTTGGCAGTAAGTATTTTTCTTTTTTACTCTATTTCCATATTCACTTTATTTCCACATATTCACATTTTAATTTATGAAGTAGAACCTCAGGTCTCAAACTTAATTCTTTCCGGAAGGCTATTCGGGAAGTGATTTGTTCAAAAACGGAATCATTTTTCCCCCCATTAAAATAATGAAAATTAAATGAATTCAATTGAATTGAATTAATCCTTTCCAGACCCCAAATGATTCCCTGTTTAAACCTTTCTTATATAAAGTCCATGTCTAATGTACTGTTTAATCTGTAAATAAACACTCCTTTTCTTACATTTATCGAACCACCCCTACTGGCTTTAAAGGAATCTCTTTTAGCACTCGTTTCCAGGGCTGTCTTTCTGGAGGTCAGTATGCAGCATCTTCACTTTTCCCATATTGCTTCCATCCGGCTGATTACTTTTCATTTATCCAAATCAATGAACACTTTCACACCCTTAGCAACAGCAGCACTTTTGATGGCCTCTTTATGTTTTAAAATTGTGCTAATCATCATTTGGCCAGCAACAAAAGCAAAAGAAACCCGAAAACACAAAAATATTCAGAGCACCATTTCCTGATATGTTAACAACAGGAGGTTCAGGGGTAAACTGACTCCTATTCAGCATTCTGTCCTTTGTCTGTGGCCTGAGAGATGTTTTTTTTTTTTGTCATGTTGAGGTATCAGCATGAAAGGGTTATTGGTCAAGAACTGAAGTTTTGTTCGACAACCCAGACTTTTTTTTTCGTGAATAACTTGCTTGAGAACCGAATCGTTTGAGATGGGAGATGTTTGAGAACTGAGGTTTGACTGTATAGCCTTGGTCGTTTTGTTCTTTACTTCTTAAGAAATAAATTAATTTTTATAATGATACTCAAATTGCTTATGATGTTGTACTGGTAATTCTAGAACTGATAGGTTTTTATTTGTTTCTACCCATAGTTAGTTTTCTTAATTTTTCTTTCTCTTGGTAATACTAATGGAGAGCTCATTAACTTTGTAAGTGGGTTTTTCAAGGTCCTGTTTCTTTGCTTGGAGGTGGATTTTATATAAGGCCCTTCACATTAGAGTGGCCTTCGGTGTATGTAACCCTTAGATTTTTGTTCTAAATTGATATTTTGGGTCAGTAGAGGGCAATGTAGAAGAAAGTCTTTATATTAAATAGTAAAAACAGTGATATGATAGTGCTGCAAAAAAGAGCCTACTGCCGGGTGAGATTGGTGCTAGCTGTGGAATATATAAGATGATTGGTGCTTTTTAAGAGATTTGTTGGAACTGTTATACTTAAGTATAACATCTTAAAAATACACACAAAAGTTGTAATATTTTCTGGTGTAAATAATTTTTTTTTAAATATATTTTTATTGAGTTTTTACAGAGAGAGGAAGGGAGAGGGATAGAGAGTTAGAAACATCAATGAGAGAGAAACACCCATCAGCTGCCTCCTGCACACCCCGCACTGGGGATGTGCCCGCAACCAAAGTACATGCCCTTGACGGGAACCGAACCCGGGACGCTTGAGTCCGTAGGCCGACGCTCTATCCACTGAGCCAAACCGGTCAGGGCGTAAATAATTTTTATTACTGGCTCTTCTGGGTTAACTAACATGTATAATTCAGCTATATCAGCATTTGGGAAGACTAAAATGTTAACTCTGCTTTTATGAAAGAAGGCACTTTATTTAAATACATAGCATTATAGGTGTTT